GAAGAACCACGACAACATTACGCTAAGTAAAACAAGCACAGAAGGACAAATACTACCTGATTCCCCTATACAAGAGGTCCAGATAGTCAAATTCCTCTCATCAAGGAGCAGAATGGTGGTTTCCAGGGGCAGGGGGAGGCGCAGTGAGGAATCAGTCATCAGCAGGCATAGAATTTCAGTCTTACATAAGATGAATAAGCTCCAGAGATCTGACGTCCAACAGTGTACCTGCCGTCAACAATAGTGAACTGACAAAAATGTAAGAAGGTAGATCTCATGTTAAGTGTTTTTCCCATAATAAGAGACAAAAGAAAGGGGGTGGACTTCTTTATCCTATAAAACAGGGTTTGCATTAATATTATGTAGCCACAGTTGCCTGAATGGGGGTGAAGTGGGGTGAGCTTCCAAAAGGGGGAGATCAACTGGACTCCACAGAAAAATGATTCACTCTGACATTTAGTGGCCAATATAATAACTGTTATTTTCAGTTGAGAAAATTAAGGTTTAGAAAGCTGAACCATTGTTTCCAAACGTCCTTTATTTCTTTGTCCTCTGCACCCCTTTATTGGAGAACCTGCCCAGTTCATGGCTCTGGGAGGGCAGCCCAGGGCATCAGGGAACCCATTTCCCCAGTCACTGCTAATTGGACCAGGAACTAGCACCTGGCTCAAGATGAGCCAATCAAATTCTCTCTCCTGGTATTTAAGGGAAGTCTCTGGGGCCAAGGCTGTGGTGCAGCAGGTTAAGCCTCTGCCTGTGGTGTTGGAATCCTATATGGGTGCTAGTTGAGTCCCAGCTTCTCCACTTCCAATCCAGCCCCTGCTAATGTGCCTGGGAAAGCAGTAGGTGACCCAAGTTCTTGGGCCCCTGGACCCACCTGGGAGACCCGGAAAAAGTTCCTGACTCCTGGCTTCGGATCAGCCCAGCTCTAGCCATTGCGACCATTTGGGAAGTGAACCAGCAAACAGAAGATCTCTCTCTCTCTCTCTCTGTCTCTCCTTCTCTCTGTGTATCTCTGCCTTTCAAGTAAATAAATAAATCTTTTTTAAAAAATAAATAAAGTCTCCAGCACTAAGTTGTGAGGAGCTCAGAGCGTCAAGTCTGAAACCGGTACCACGGTCAGCCAAAGCCAGGGGCAGCTGACAGAGGAAGAGGTAGAAAGTAGGCGTGGCTAGCAAAGTTGGTCTGTGGGGAGGACAGGTGAGCAAGTGTCCGAGGAGCTGCAGAAGGAGCCATCTACAGGATGGCAGAGAAATGGTGGTTTCCCACTCCTGGGAGGCCAGGCTGCAGGAGCTGCCCCTGCCTACTGATAAGATTCCTGTGTTTCACTTGAACTGACTGAAGGAGCTTCTTTTCTTTCTCTCTCTCTCTCTTTCTCTTTCCTTTCTCTTTTCTTTTCTTTTCTTTGACAGGCAGAGTGGACAGTGAAAGAGAGAGACAGAGAGAAAGGTCTTCCTTTGCCGTTGGTTCACCCCACAATGGCCGCTGCGGCCGGCGCACCGCACTGATCCGATGGCAGGAGCCAGCTGCTTCTCCTGGTCTCCCATGGGGTGCAGGGCCCAAGCACTTGGGCCATCCTCCACTGCCTTTCCGAGCCACAGCAGAGAGCTGGACTGGAAGAGGGGCAACCGGGACAGAATCCAGCGCCCCTACTGGGACTAGAACCCGGTGTGCTGGCACCGCAGGCAGAGGATTAGCCTAGTGAGCCGCGGCGCCGGCCTGAAGGAGCTTCTTTTCAGTACACTCAGCAATCCCTTGTTTCCAGAGTGTGTGGAGACAGGTGGACTCCTCGCCTAGTGCTCCTGCTGGGCCACCACTCTACCTGCTTCTCTGGTGTCAGTGGGATCTGTCTCGGGATTCAGCAGTAAAAAATGTGATTTTTCTATATCCTCTCAAGGTTCTGGATATGGCATCATGGCCAGAAAAGACCCAGGTCTCCATCCCGAAACAGGGACGGTCACATGACACCTGAGAGCCAACCGGGAGACACCAGGCCACACAGTGGTGCGAGCCAGCTCAGGCACCAAGGCAGCCTTTGTCTGTGGCCTGGCAGGGCTCCCTGTTCTGGCCCAGAACTCATGTTGCAAATTCTCATATCAGGTGATTCCCAGAAAACAGTGTGACTCGAGCCCCAGGTGGCCAAGTCCCATGGATTATTTCCCTGCTAGGAAACAAACAACTTGGCAAGAGAAATCACTGGGTACTCCCCACCCTTGGTGAGAAAGCCAGGACCCATTCACTCTGGGAGTGGCTACGGGAATAATCCACTTACCTCCACCACCCCCCATCACTGTTTGCCTGCCATTCATCTGGGACTCTCCATAAAAGATAAACCTCCTCAGAAATAATAGACAATAAGAACCATTACTATCAGGAGCCTGTACAATTTCTCTCTAGCTCCAAAACTATCATAAAATAGGGAGCATCCCCCCATTTCACAGATAAGTACCAGAGGTTCAGAGTCCTTCACCATTGCTGCTGTAGTCTCTCGCTGGCCAGTGATACAGTTGGGGTCTGCTTGCTTACCCCTGCTAAAGCTGGCATTACTAAGTTTTCCAACTATGAGCAGGCTGCTTTGTTCACGTGTTTCATTCATTCATCACCAGCAACCCTAAGGTTGCAGTTATACTAGCGTATGGATAAGAATCCAAAGCAGAGAGCCCAAGGAATTTGCCCAAATTTGGTAGAGAAGAGACTTGCACTGCGCTGTGCCTGGAAGCCCTCCCTAGGTTTCTGGCAAACCTAGGCCAGGGCTGGCGGATAAGAGCCTGCTGAGACTCTCACTGATGGGCTGAGGGGGCGTCCTCCCCGCCAGCGTGCATTTCTCCCAGCGTCCTCACTGGTGCCCCGCGCAGCATCCTGTTGGAGCTCACAATCACCTCGTAGGGTGAGCAGATCACGTCCCTGAAGAACCGCCTCCCGGATGGGAACAGCAAGGCTGGGACTGGTGCTGTGGCGTAATGGGTAAAGCCGCTGCCTCCAGTGCCGGCATCCCATGTGGGCACTGGTTCAAGTCCTGGCTGCTCCACTTCCAATCCAGCTCTCTGTTATGGCCTGGGAAAGCAGAAGATGGCCCAAGTCCTTGGGCTCTTGCACCCACGTGGGAGACCCAGAGGAGGCTCTTGGCTCCTGACTTCAGATCGGCACAGCTCCAGCCGTTGCGGCCATCTGGGGAGTAAACCAGTGGATGGAAGACCTCTCTCTCTCTCTCTCTCTCTCTGCCTCCCCTTCTCTCTCTGTATAACTCGACTTTCAAATAAATAAATACATCTTTAAAAAGAAAAAGGAAAAAAAAGAACAACGAAGCTCAGAGAGATGCTCTGTCCACTCCTAGATCACACAGCTGGAAAATGGGCTTGAACACGAGTTCTCGCCACAGAACTGCAGAGACGCACGACAGAAAACCAGAACACCAGGTAGAAAGGAAAGAGTAACAGAAAGGCTGAATTTGAGGAAGGTGACAGAAAACATCCGCCCATCCCAAAGCCCCCAGAGTTGGGCCACCACAGTCAGAGATCTCAGGGGTCCTGAGGGGACAGTTCTGTGTCCAGAGACACCTGTGACAATCAAACGGCCAAACTGCCATGGCGACTACCCAAGAGCAGGTCAGCCGTGCTTGGGCCAACTCTTATTTCCTCTCCCCTTGAAACAGGAAAGACCTTGGGCCAGTGCACAGTCCGCCTGAGAGTGGACTGTGCACACAACAGGTGTCCTGCGGAATGCCCCCGGGATGCACAGAAGGGGAGGGCGGGGCAGCAGGACTGAACGGAGGCCAGAAATGGAGCAGAGACTGAGTCACACAGAGAGCCCTGCTGCTCCCACAGGGAGCCCTGGAGCTGGGAGGGGCCTCATATTGTCCTGAACGTGGGCAGGGGGCCGAGGCCTTCCACCCCTAAGTGGCTCAGTCATTGCATGCAGGAGTGCCCGGCACAGGGCACACATGAGCAAGGCGGCTCCCCTTGGGTGAGGGCAGCCCACGCTGGCTGTGAGCCGCCAACAACCACACTGTCGGCAGCTGAGTGAACGAGCACTTTGGTCCTCAGTAGGGACCTAGGGGTCCACCACAGTGTCCACTTCAAACAGCATTTGGGATGCACATGGTGTGAGCACAGACCGCTCTGTGCGTATGCTCTCGCTCGCTCACTCTCGCTCGCTTGCTCTCTCTCTTCTAGTCCTGCCCTGCCCAGGCCTCTGCAGCCTACTGCTTTCCCAGCCAACTGGAGCAATGTGAAAGGGATGCCTGCCTCATGGCAGAAAATCCACAGGGCCAAAAACAGCTGGCTATTGTATTTCAGAGTCACTTCATCTGTCTGGGGCTACCTGGAAGCTGAGAGGGCGTTACCCCTTCTGTCTCCCTGGACTGACTTGCAGGGGCCTCCACGCCGTCTATAGCTCCATTGGCACAGGCCCTGCTAGTCACTCCGCGGTCCTCCTCCGTCCTAACGATTGGTGTTGGATGAGCTCCAGACACCAAACCTGAAATGTGAGTCCTCTGGTAAGGACAAACGTGCTCTGGGCTGCTTCAGAGGCAGTCGCTCCTCTCCACCAAAAACAGGAATTCAGTTTGAGGGAAAGCACTGTTAGACACCACCCTCTGAGACAGACACTGAATTTCCCCCCAAAGGTTTGCTTTTCCAAGAGCTAAGTAGGGAGAATGAACAAGCCCGAGTCCCCCAACTTTATGATGGCTTTGGCCAAACTCACCCCCATTATAGGGGATTATGTTGTTACTCAATTACATAATAGATGGTTGCCTGATTCATCCAACTGTATATAGATTTTTAAAAATCCATTTCCCCCCATAAACAAGAGCATAATTTTAACCACCAAACCACTCAGAATCTTAACCCCAGCCACCTTATTTGCATTTTTTCCCGACAGAGCTTACATTTTTCATTTCTTTAATTGGACATTTTCGAGCCCTGAGCCTGACCACCGGCTGTGCAGGGTGATAACACCCTCACTCCGGGGTCCTACTCCTTCCTCCCCCACTCCCCACTGCCTGAATTAAAGGAATGTCTCATGCCTCAGGCCACTTCCGGAGTAAAAAGCATGTAGAAAGATTTGGGCTCAGGCTGTTGGGTCAGGAGACAACACCAAGGGAAAGGAAACGCCCCCTTCTAACTGTGACATCACAATGGTGGCCACAAATGTGGGGGCTCTGAAACTCCCACAAGTCTTCCTTCCCGGAGTCCCGAGAACCTCGGGGAAGCTCTTAGAACCGTAGGGAAAATGAGAAGAGGACACAAGAAAAACCAGTAAGTCATCTACCCCCCAAATCCTTCAAGCATTGCCAGGCCGTATCTTCTCCCAACTCTTCATTTAATTACCTCATCTTATGAAAAGAAGCAGCTGTGACCCACGCTGACAGGACCAGCTCCATCCATTTCCCTATAGACTGGCGTGATAAATTAATATGGGCACACCTGTCATAACATGTACAGAGGGCAGATTTACAATCTAACAGCTTAAAAACCTTCCTAGAGGATTCTCTGCTTGCTCATACTTTGGGGGGGGAGGCGTATTTTATCAGTGTATTGGGTTGTTATTATTACTGTGATTGTTGCTATTGTTTTTAATCTTCCAAGTTCTTGGAAAATCCTTCCCCAGGGCGAGATCTTTGGGGGCCTTTTAACACCAGAGTAGCTTTGCAGTTAACTTGCAGCCATGGTACCATTCAAGATCAAAGAGGCAAGGCGGGATTAATGGCAAGGAATTGCTGTTCCTTTGTAAGACCTGCTGGATGTTAACCATCTCTGACCGTGTGTCAACTCCTTCCAACTCCATTCATCAATAGACTCTCTTGAAACCTCATGGATCCCCTGGCCTGTAATCTTTTGTTTCTGTAATGAGATGAAGGGAAATAACTTCCATTGAAATAAGTTTCAATTAATTATGCCTCTGAGTCAAGCTTTTGGATCACCATCAGTGGCTCACAGTCGGAAGTGCAAACTCTCCTGGACTATGTGTGCGTGCTTGCTTTTGGTTTCGTGCTTCTTTTAGGAAGCAAGGAACGTCAGGCAACAATAAAGGAGCTCAATAACTGATTGCAATTAAATACTTGGAGGAGGATACCAGCGTTGGAAGATGAGGTTGATATGTCTGCAACTCTTCTGGAAATAACCTTTGGCTAGAGGAGTTGGATTTGGGTCTTTCCTTTCAGATTTAAATGCTATGAAATGATCAGATTGCCTATATTTCTTTCAACTTCTGGTAGAGAGTGTGGGAAAGAGGGTAGAGGGCAGGGAATAGGGACAGTAACCAAGATGAGACAGAAATGTTTATTAAAACCAAGTAAAGGTTTTATTTTACATTGGAATTTTTGCCTGGGGAAGGTTAACAATTACTTTTCAAAGATTTACTTATTTATTTGAAATGCAGAGTGACAAAGGAGGGAGAGACAGAGACAGAAAAAGATCTTCTGTCCACTGGTTCACTCCCCAAATGGCTACAATGGCCAGGGCTGAGCGAGGCCCAAGTCAAAAGCCCAGAACTCCAACCAGGTTCCCAAGCACATTAGCAGGGAGCTGGATGGGAAACAGAGAAGCCAGGACTCAAATTGATGCTCCAATATTGGATGCCAATATGTCAAGCAGAAGTTAACCCATTGTACCACAATGCCAGACCCAACAATTGTTCTTACAGTCTTTCCAATGCTCTACACAAAAGTGTATAGTTTCTAAATTCAAGGATCATTGGCCAGCAGGTAATAATTTGAACTTTACAGAATTTTCCTATATATAGATTGCATACAAAACCCAGGGAAAGAAGACTCAGCAGGAAGGCCAGAGTAGCAAGCAGAGTGCTTTGGGGAATGCCACCATTTCAAAGGGAAGAAGGAAGGAAGGGGTTCCAGGAAACCGAACTGAGACACAATTGCCATCCTTCATTGAGCCAGGTGTCGGGCACAGAGCTAAGAACGTCTCAGACATGAGCATCCATCAGACTTGTTTCCAGACAGTGGAACTAAGGCTCAAGTTCAGATTCTGTTCAACAAAAGAACTGGCATTCAAAGCCAGGCCAGCCTGGGGCCACAGTATGAGCTCTTAGTCACCTCACTGTGTTGCAGGCTGATAAGAAGGAAATTCTGCAGGGACCTGGGAAAGGATATAGCTGAGGAAGACGAGGAAAACATCTCAATAGCGAGGAAATAGTGTTTCGCTTGAACTATTCAGAAGAGTAAGAGGGTAAGTATTGAAGAGTCAGCATTGAACTTGACAATTTGGAAGCAGGTCCCCATACGACTTAACAGGTGTGTTTGCTCTTTTTTCCGAAACTTAGCACAAGTTCAGGGACCACATAAGCTTTTGCCTGAAAACAGTGTCATTCTTTGGGACACCAAACTTTTCCTATGAAAAGACCAGAGAGTAAACACTCCTAAGTGTTGCAGGATTTGCAGTCTGTTCCGTAACTCCTCGACTCTGCCACTGGAGAACAAAAGCAACCACAACACACATGCAAAGGGAGGCGCTTCCCTTAGGAACAAGCAGCGGGCTAGTCCGACACACAAGCCGTAGCCGGCCAAGCTCTTGTCTAGCATAACTGAGCCAGCCTTCCACGTCCTGGATTCCAACATCTGCATACGCAACACCTGCTGATTGGAAACCCCGTTTTAGGCCGATGATGCTCATAGGTTGTTATGCCCTAAACCATACAGTATAACAGCCACTGACGCAGCACTGACATTGCGTAAGGAATTATAAATAATCCAGAGATGGTTCAAAGCACACAGGAAGGTGTGCAGAGGTTATGCACAAATACCATGACGTTTCATAGAAGCGACTTGAGCATCAGCAGAGTTTGCCGTGCACTGGAGCATATTCCTCCACCAATCCCTCCTGGATGTCAAGGGGCCGCCCTACTCAGCAAATACCAATTTCCTTAACTAAGAGTTAGCTGGACCTCATTAACTTTGGGCTCAGCAATGTCCCGTCTAAGATTTTTTATCTTGAATAAATATTAGAGAACGCGGTCTGTGACATGTTAGAAGGATGCCCACTGCTTCATTGTTTGTAACAGAAAAGAATGGGAAACACCAAAAATTAGAGCTTGGTTAAATGAATTATGTTACATCCCCATAACAGAATGCCAGGCAGCCATTTAAAATTAGATTCCAGAAGAACACTTGATGTGGACATATGTTTCCTACATACCAAGTGAACAAATCAAGTTACAGAACAATTTGAACAATCCATTTTGCTAAACACATATTCATTGTAACGTACACAGACACAAAACCAATGACAACAAACTGAAAAGACGTGTATCAAAATACTGGCCGTGGTTGAGATGGGGAGAACTTAAGTTTTCTTTATGCTTTTGCATATTTTTTAGATTTTCTCCCTTGGGCAACTATTCCAGAGAAAACATGTTTTTAAAATCATGCACAACAAGGTTTCAGAAGACTTAACAGAAAAAGAGGATCCACTTACCCTCTTCAGGTCGCCCGCCTGTCTCCTGCATAAGCCCGGTGCCACCCCGAAGAGCTTTCCCGGAGGTCCCAGACTCTGGTGGCTCCACAAACTGCAACACAAGCTGGAGTCGAATGGAATCCCCACAGCCAAGCTCCTTCCTCAGGCCGGCACCCACTGAGCCGGAAGCCACAGCGGCTGCCCGCACGCAGCTCCTGCTGGAGTGGGAGAGGCCAGATGTACACAGCACAGTCCCGCGGGTCCCTCTGACCTCCCCCTGGGAGATGCAGGCAGCATCACCAGGGTCAGCGGTTGTGGGTGGGCAGGAACAGGAAGATTCCTCTCCCACTAGCCCGAGAACCGCATCTCATTTAACTGCTGGAGGAGGACGCCTTGGAGGATGCCCCGTCACTTCTTTAAGAAGAGGAAACCCAGCGCCGGAGCTGAAGCGAAGTGGGCTAAGCCTCCACCCGTGGCGCCGGCATCCCTCCCGGGGGCAGGTTTGTGTCCCGGCTGTTCCTCTTCCAGTCGGGCTCTCTGCTATGGCCTGGGAAAGCAGCAGAAGATAGCCCAAGTTCTGGGCCCCCGCACCCACTGGGAGACCCGGAAGGAGCTCCTGGCTTCTGATTGGCCCAGCTCTGGGCATTTCAGCCATTTAGGGAGTGAACCAGCGGATGGAAGACCTCTCTGTCTCTCCCTCTGTAACTCTGCCTCTGAAGTAAATAAATACATCTTACAAAAAAAAGAAAGAGAGAGAGAGAGAGAGAGAGAGAGAGAGAGAGAGAACAAGTCCAGATGGCCTTGGGACAAGAAGCAGTAGCGCTGGGGAAGACTTTCTCTCCCAGCCCCTCTGATCTCTCCAGTTCTTGCTCTGTGTCTTACAATGTAAGAAATAAAAATCCACCCTCTGCAAGTGGATGTTCTACTTTATTTTTAAAATTTATTTATGAGAAAGAACGCTCACATCGGTCAGTTCACTCCCCCAAATGCCCACAACAACCAAGGGGACCAAAGCCATGAGCCAGAAGCCCAACCCAGGTCTCCCCACATAGGTGGCAAGAAATCCATTATGTTTGCCATCACCGCTGCCTGCTAGGGTCTGCATTAGCAGGAAGCTAGAATCAGGAGCCAGAGCTAGAAGCTGAATCTAGGCATCCAATCTGGGATGCTAGTGGTTTAAATGCTAGGCCAAATGCCCACCTCAGATATTCTACTTTTTATTAAAAAGGGTTCCAAGTTCAAAGATTTGGTGGAAGTGGCATCAACTCCTCTAGCACACTGAAGGCTCTGATAAGTCCTGCAGCGAGACACCTGCCATTTTCAATGCCCACCTGAGCATTTTTCATGCACCCTGCACCACGAAGCCATTTTTCCACGTGCCATCTGCTCATCCCCTGGGTACCCATGAATCTCAGCCTCTTAGGCAGGGGGAGGCTGCGTATGACGGAAAGCAGCTCAGCACAGAGATCACACCCTGACTGGCGAGTGCGGAGCTGACAGGCTCAGCCGGGGAGACAGGTTACCACATCCTTTGTGGGACCCAAGCGGCCGGCATGCTGCAGCCAGACTGTGAAGCCCCTAAGTGAAGCCCCTCTCCCTGGATGGCAAGGGAGGGCCTCAGGATTTGTGCCTGCAACGATGCAGAAACCTGGGAGGCCGTGCAAAGAGCGCGAGTGACAGCCACGCTGGTGACAAGTTAATTTCCCGGTGTGGACCGGAGCCCGCCTGACCCAAACAGGCACACGATTTGCCTAATGTTCCCTCAAGGGACTTGTCTTCCCTCCTCCAGAAGCCACCAAGGAGCTCCTCCCTCTCTCTGGTAAACAGCCGTGGATAATGTCTGCCCC